CCCCCTGTTTTGAGCCCCCTGCCACACCCCACACTCCTCCTGCACTCCAGCCCCCTGCCCTGAGCCCCCAACCCCCTGCCCTGAGCCACCTCCCACACTCCTCACCCCTCCCTGAACCCCAACCCTCTGCCCTGAGCCCCCTCATACACCTTGCACCCCTCCTGTGCCCCAACCCCTTGCCCTGAGCCCCTTCCTGCACACCGCACCTCCTCCTGCACCCCAACCCCCTGCCCCAGCCCTACATTCATGGCCCTGCATGCAATTTCCCCACCCAATGTGGCCCACCCTTGTTTTTACAAGTTGCATGGTGTGAGTTTATGTATAACAACTTCATACCTTACATGCATAATGAAATAAGAGACCAGAGACCACGTTCCTTCAGCTACACTAGATACTCAGGCTTATCAGGTAGCTACATTTCTTTAAATGTGTTTCTGTTTTGATAAAAATGTTTTGCTAACATATTTTATCAATTAACTAAATTCCTGGCCTGTGTAATTATACTGCATATCCATAGTCAGTATCTCCATCAGCCAAATTCCACCTTAGATAACTCTTATTTTATGAAGACTTACACTTCACACAGCTACCTGTGCCTGCATTCCCCTCTCTGTCTTTTATTTTCTGTTGCCAAATTCTGTTGTTCACACATTCAAGCAAAACTACCAATAAAGTCAATGGAAAGTTTGCACAATTAAGGACAGCACAAATCTGACCCTGTATTTTTAAGTCAAAACCGTAAATGCATAACATGCTAAGCTGACTGATCCGTAATCAGCAACAGTAATGTGTACAGTACTTTGAGAGATTACAGATGGTAACAGTGCCAAGCCAGAACTGCTGGCTGTGTGCAGAGGTGCCTGCAATCTGGAATACAGCGAACGGTACCATTTTCTATCTCTATCGCATGCTCTGTAATGCAAATTGAATGTTATCACCTATTGCACACAGAAGCTGCTAAAAACTTTAAACAAGGATAATCAAAATGCAATGAACCAGTATTATGATTTGCTAAAATGAGAAAAATAGAGATCACTGCTGGTGGCACAAAAGCAACAAAATATAAACACAAGATAGTCAGCATCCAATTAATTATAACACTTTCAAACAGCTCCAAATGTAAGCCTGGTAAAACACATTTTTCTACTATGTGTATATATTTTTTCACCCAATTAAATCTTTTTCAAGTCTTGTTACAATCAAACACTGTATCCGATTGTACTCTTTCTTCTCCCTCAAAGTTTGATGGAAACATTAAATACTTTTTCCATTTTTTAATCTCTTAACTGTATTAGTGTTTAATAACTATATATGCTATATGTACAGACTAATTCCACTATCTCAAAACACAGAGGCAGTGCCATAAAAAGAAGCCCAAACCCCTCTGTCATACATAACTACATACTGCTGAGCTTTATGTCACGACACACTCTCCCCTGACAAGGTTATTCCAGAATAAAGTCTCCCCCTGGTAGATCTGTTACATCATAATGCCTCCATCAAGATGTTTATTGCATAATAAAGTCTCCACTCCACAGTAGAACTTTTATGGATAGAGGACTTCATTCATGTTGCTAGCCATATGCCACAAAAGTCTCCATTACAGCTCAACTTCAATGTTTGACCCCCCCTCTCACCAGGACCAATCTCCTTGATCTCCTTAGGAGCAATTGACTACTCTATTCCAAAATGCTGTATGATTTTGTGATATAACAAAATGGAATAGACTGAACCCTCAGACTCATTTTCCTTATCCCCATAATTTTCCAGATAAGAATGGTTAATGTGATGACACTATGAGCCATTCACCCCAAACATGTCAATGCTGTTGCCTGTTTAGGTGGACGGAGTAAAGAAGAAAGCAGAATAATTTTTTCCATGTAGGAATAAAGTCCCAGCACGAACGTCTAAGAGATTATGGAGCTATAAGACTATTTGCAGAATGACTCTTCTTCAAACACTTGATTAACTGTACTACTCTCTGATCTGTTTAATTATATATATAAATATCATTGTGATCCATGTAAATTAGTGGGTTGGTCATCAAGTTCTCTGAGCGCTTCAGCAAAGGCCTAAAAACTCATATTTTGTTTGCAAGATTGGTTTTGTTATGGTACTTTTTTGGGGGGGGAAATGCAAAATCTTTGGTGGTCTGAAATATTTTCCAGTTACATCTGTGGCAGAACTCTCACATGTTATTGGTAGTAACCACTGTTGAGTCAATACTGGGTAAAAAGCTTTTTAACTATCCAGAGTCTTGTTCTCATGTTCACTTCAGAACAATCAGATGGTTAAATACTTATTTCTTGCAAGATTTAGAATACTGCTAGCCTTTCTGTTTTCATAAATTCTGTCCTACTCACATGCGGTAATTGCTCATAAAATATTAGCATGCCATTTATTGCTAACATTGTGATCCTCATTTTGATAAACTATCAAAAAGTTACATCCCCCCTGTCTGATGAGCCTGATCCTGCTTCTGTGGAAGTCAATATAAAAATTCGTATCAACTACAAACGTCATGAAAGGTGCTGCTTTGATAGTCTGTGAGACCAGTGTCCTCTCTTTAGTCATTGAACAAGTACAGCACAGACAAAAGCAGGGAAAGCTTCTCCAGACTGGCCTGACAATGTGCCGCAGTCTTGCTGTGAGGTAAGAGCTTCTAGGAGTAGCAAGGTGGTTGCTATTTCCCTCAGTCTTTGACCTCTCAGCAGCAGCTATCAACAAACAGTGATTCTGTGCCACTCCTGATAGTTTTTATAATGTAAACACCTGGCTACTAAGAACTAAAGGGAGATGTCCCACTTATTTCAGTCATCAGGTGGCAATGATTTTCAACCACTGTTGGCCTGAGATGCTAAGGGTGAAATGCTAGGAACCAGATTCAGAGCCATCCAGCCTGTTCCACAATTTTTAAGAGCTCAGTTCAAAAAAAATATTATACAGCTTCTAAAGTGCAAAACGCTGCTGAAGCTAAGAACATTGGCTGTGATGCAGAATCAAGGTAAAATGCATGAAAACAAAGATTAATAAGAAAAAAGTTTCAAACCTCAGTAGGTGCTGAGAGGCTCATGCAAAGCATTCTTCAACAGTGAATAGGAAATTAGATATGTTAGCCATATTCTTAGAAGCTGTGTGGCCACCATGTCTGAGTGGACCTGGAACTACTATTCTGACTGTATATGAAGTGAAAGAAGAATGTGGTAGGTAATCTGAGCATAGTATGTGATAACTGAAATTTAGGGTATGTTTATGCTGCAATTGGAGGTGTGACTGAAGCTCAGATAGGCATACCTGAATAACTTTAACCTAGCTAGCACAGTTAACAAGACCAATGCAGATAAGGTGGCAGGGGTTTCAAATCAGGCAAGCGAGGGTTCCAGGCAGGCTTCTACATCCCACACTGATGCTTCTACCACCACATCTTTACTGCTATTTGTAGCTGTGTTAGCTAGCTTGAAGCTAGTGCAGGTATGCCTACCTAAGCTGCAACCACACCTTCGACTGCAGTGTAGACATTCCTGATGTGATACTTTGCTCTACAAGGCCCAATGCCTTGATTTTCAGACAAATATTCTCCTCAAGCATAAGGTGATTTACTTTGGTAGTAAACTAGTACTGGCCCACTAATGCCAGTAGCTGTGCATACTGTAGCCTGTGACATTTTAGTATTGTGAATAATTGTTAAATTTTATCCCTGAAGGGAAATGCCACTACAACCACAAAATACAACCTTTATACGTGCCAATATCTTTCTTTTGTATATTTCTTCTCCTGAGTCTAGATACCACATTAGAGAGCCCTACTCCACTAGACTCCATCCACCCTCCCTGCCTTCTGTGAGGGGTTCCAGGATCTACCCATGCCAAACGATGGGCACTAAGGTCTGTCCTATGTGAGGGGCAGCCAAGATTGCACACCACTGGTGATGGACACCAGAGTCCGTTCACCCTTAGGTAAAGGATACGGAAGTCTGACATCCCAGACTCAAGTGTTCCCAGTCAGCCCACTCTGGGGTTTTTGAGCACCACAGGCAGCGTAACTTGAGGGAAGGGATACCACAGTTTACCCAGAATGGGTGAAGGGCACCAGAGTTTGTTCACCTGAGATCAAAGGGCGGCAATGTACATAATCACAGAGATGCACCACAGCCAGCATGCCTCCAAGAGGAAGACCGTGGTCGACAACTTCACTCTTCTGGCACAATGGACCTTTCTACAATAAAGATGAAGCTCACCTATGCTTTCTTGGGGGCCAGTCCAAGTCTGTGGCATGAACTCTTACAAGAACTAAGGATCATCGCAAGCTGCACCACCTTCCACTCTAAGTCAAGGCCCGGTTCTTTGACCTTGCTATCTCTAACATAAACCTATAGCAATGGGTATGTATATTATTTTTTAAAAATCCAAAATAAAACACTGCTTGTGGAGAAACAAACACAGAACAGAGGTGCAGCCACTCTGCTTTCTGCATTACTGGAAGGTGCTCAGATACTACAGGAATGAGTACAGTATACAGACGTGAGCAGAGAAGAGTAGAATAGGGTCCGAGGCATCAGTCCGGAAGCAATGAAACCACTGGTGTATCACCACAAATAAATGGCTAAGGGTGCCAGTCATACCACCCCCCTCCCTCATACACATAGAACGAGCAGAAAACAATGACGTCCCTGCCACCATGAGTCACAGTCCCGCTTCCCATTAAGCAAAGGGCAGTAGAGTCACACCAGGGCAAGGGATGCAGGAGTCAGGGCTACCCCATGGACAAGGAGTACCACCACCCCAGTCCCACCCCTCTCCCAGGGGAATGGTGCCAAATGACATGTCTGAGCCAATCATTCAGGACCTGCTGGGAGAGCAAAGCTTCTGCTGGGAGAGCAGGCCCTGAGCTGGGAGGAACCATGTGGGAGGCACCCATAGATCCCCCAAAGGGCCTTGCACCTGCCTGGGGTGCTCCATCCCCCCTGCCCTTGTGTCCAGGCCGGGGTGCCATCGCCTCACCTTGTGGTCCAGGACGCCGCTGTAGCCCTCCAGGAGCCCAGCCCCCACAGGGAGCCTGGGGCGCTGCTGGCTGGCGCCCAGCTGCTTGCTCTCCGGCTTCCCACTGGCCGCCGCCGCCACCTGCTGCTGCTGCTGCTGGCTCGGCTCTTTCTGGCCCCCGCCGCCGATGCTGCTGTACATGAGCAACAAGCTGGTGCACATGGTGGTGAGCACTAAACACACCGCCAGCCCGTGGCGCTGCAAAGGGGACAAAGAGACACTGAGCCCCCGCTGCGAACTGCAAAGCGCAGGGCCTGGGACACAGACCCACGGACGGAGGGAGCCTAACGGGGGAGGGCGCAGTTCAAACCCCGACCCGCGTGGGAAAAGACTGGACACCCTGGAAGGAGGCGAGGGGAGGGGGGATGGTTCAAATCCTGAGCGGGGGAGACGGGCTGGAGTCTGGGTCTCCTGCTCTGCACCCCCCCCCCACCCCAGCCCTATGCCGCGCTACCTATTTGCCCCCCTCTCTCGGGGGGGGGCATCACATTGCAGGGGGCTACACCTAGCCCGGGGCAGCGGCGAAGGCGGGGCTCCCAGTTTGTTTCACTTGCGGGGCAGTGTCTATCCAGGCGGGCGGGAGGGTGCAGCTGCTCGGGTGAGGTGTCTATTTTGGCAGCAATCGCCGCGCCTTTCCCTGTGCAGCTCCTGCAAGTTTGACACCAATGAAGACCAGGCAAAAGTGCGGCTAGAGAACTCCAATAATCCCCCCTCCCCCGCCGCCGCCCCACTCTTCTCCCCCTCTCGCTGCCTCCCTCCCTTCTCCACCCCTTCATCTCTCATCCCCTTCTTCTTCTTTTCCTTCCGCCTCTGCCCCCCAGCCCCGTCTTTCCCTGTCCCCCTCTCCTTCCTTCCCTTTCCCAGGCTTCCCCTTCTCCCTCCGCTCTCTTTCCCGTGCCTTCATCCCCCTTTAGCCATTCCATCCCTGCGTTTTCATGACTGTTAGGAATTGTTGCACGAGCCAAGTTACATCCAGACTCATCCTTTAAGCCGATCTGTTTTCCACCCGCTCTGAACAATAACGCTGCACATGAATAAAAGAAAAGCAGGTGGAAAGTTCTCCTCCTCCTCCTCCTCCTCGGGTTTGTTCCCCTTCGTCAAATATAACAAAAGAGAAGATAGCAGCCCTGGAAAGGCTGGAGCATATGTCTGATGCCCTGGCCAGCCCCGATCCACTACCCTCGTCCTCTTCCCCACCAGGGCTGCTTTCGTTTGGTCCCCGGGTGACCTAGGATAATTAGGTCCAACAACTGACTTACCATCAGGGTCTTCATTTTGTGCACCTCTTTGTACCGAATCCTCAGGCTTGCGCATCTGGGGCCACTTTTCCCTCTAGGGTTGCTACTGTGAGGAAGCCAGTGACATGTTTTTTGCCGGGGATCAGGCTGGAGAGACAGACGCCCGAGCCGGAGCTGGGGCTGTTGGGGAAAGCACTGCTGTGGCAGAGATTAGAGACAGAATTAAAACTGGACTGGACCCTCTTAGTCTCTCAGTGATCTACACAACTGCCGCCTGCCACTGTCTGCTGGGTCCTAAACTACTCCGGGTCCTTCCTCGTCTCCAGCACTGAGGCGGTTTCAGGATAAGTAGAAGTTAAAGGTTTCAGAGTAACAGCCGTGTTAGTCTGTATTCGCAAAAAGAAAAGGAGTACTTGTGGCATCTTAGAGACTAACCAATTTATTAGAGCATGAGCTTTCCTGAGCTACAGCTCACTTCATCGGATGCATACTGTGGAAAGTATAGAAGATCTTTTTATACACACAAAGAATGAAAAAATGGTATGCATCCGATGAAGTGAGCTGTAGCTCACGAAAGCTCATGCTCAAATAAATTGGTTGGTCTCTAAGGTGCCACAAGTATTCCTTTTCTTTTTAGAAGTTAAAGGAAGACATAAGTTAGGTCGCATTATTCCTCAGAAAGAAACCTCATCTCAGCACACACACAGCAGCCACTTTCCCCTCTTCTGAAACAGAACAGCAGAGAGGGATAGAAACACACTCTACAGTCTTCTGCACAATGTCATATTTAATCAGTGGGTGGGATTCTGATCAACATAAATGAAACCTTTTCAAACTACAACGGCATTATATCCCTGCAGGCTGACACTCGCTTTGCCTTTTTTAAAATCCTGCTTTTAACACTAGGACCCAATCTTCAATTACCTTATTTCCATTTTGCCTAGAGGAAGATTCACCCCTCTCTAAGCATTAACTGGGTTTTCTGAGCCTTGTGGTTTTGAGGCAACAATTTTTCATCTAAATAATTTTAATTTTTTGTTTGTAAATATTTTAACACCCTCCATTTCTAGTATAGTATTAACAACTTTTAGAGTCTCCTGCTTCCTTATTATCTAACAACCCTTCATAATAAGTTTTTAAAAATGTAAACACATGCTGGTCTCACTAGTAAGTGGAGCTGTAGTTTCTTGTACTCTTGCTCCTCATGCCATCCTTCTGGTTGCTGGAAATAAAGGCGTTCTACTATCATTTCATAAGCAGTCCTCTGGCATCCTTTACTGTTTCCTTCTTTGATTTTGCTGTATTAATGATGCATAGTTCAATTGTGAAAACTTTAATAAAGCAACTTAAATTACATGAATTTCTTGCTCTAGGAATTCCATATTTATATATTCGCCCCTTCAAAACAACCCATTTTCAGATTGGTTTCTTATGAAGTTATTAAAATGACAGTATAGCATTTTGAAAAAAATTAGATCTTAATTATGAACATATTTCTCTTGAAATTATTCATCAAAAATAATAGTTCTAATATATGACTTCACATCTACCCTATAGCAATATAACATTAAAGACTACATTAAGGAGAAAATGATCAGCAGGCTAACTCAACCATGTTCACAATAATATCTTTCTCAAGGCTGGAATTGTCAATTTCTCAAGGCTGAAATCCATTTTTCATCTTTACTAATTCATTGGTAGACTAACAGTGGAACAAATGTCATCTCAAGCTATGGCACAGCATTCAGCAGGTGATGCTTTTTAAGAAAGTAGAAATTATTAGCAGAAACAAAAATGTATGCTACATCAGTGGAGATGGCAGTAAACATGCTTTGTCATTTCAGAAGATTGCTGGCATTGCAAGTATACTTGCTATTTATTCCATTTGTGGTTTAGGTTAGAATAGTACCAGTTGTTAAGACAGGAGCTACAGTATAAGAATAATCTTATCAGTTCTTGGTAATTCTTTATTATGTGGTTGCACTTGACACTCAAATTAGTGAAAAAAAGGGCCAACTTGATGAATCATTGAAAGCAAATTATCTGCGGCTCTCCAAGGCTTCCTGCAAAAAACTACAAAAGGCAGCTCATGCATTTTACAGTGCTGTTTCTCAACTATCAGCAAGCAGGTTGCTGGTAACTGACAAAGCTCCTCTAATATATTTTGCCATGCCCAACTGAAGCATCTTATTTATGATGATTTAGGTTCATGGCTGTATGTAGACATCTGTGACACAGTATGCTGACCAAATTCATTAAACTTATAGTTGGGGTAGTAGCTGGGCTGATAGCTGAATATATTGATAGAGTAGCCAGGCTAAATTTTCTAATTTAATGCTGAGTTGGCCTTGAATATTGTCCAGTTTTCTGCTTCTTAGATATTTAATTAGATTGCCATCCTGGCCATAAACACTAATCTTGGCAGTCAAATGGGCAGCGACACAAACAGTGTAGTATAAAGTAAATTCTGCAGTAGTTTTTATTTATAAGCATGGTTTGTCCAGGGAAAATTATAAATCAACTGGAAAACAGCCCAGATACTTAATTTAATTTTAAGTTCCCACAAGTTAATCGTTTTAGCTTTGTGGGGTTTTATATTTAAGAAAATGTATTTGTGTCTACATAAATGCATAGATATATAGTTATATGCACGCACACATTAAATTTAATAATTAGGCTAGCAAGAAGTAGAGGAATATGGGCTGAGTTCATAAACACTTAATCAACTTGGAATAAAACATTTTAAAGTTCATCTGACTCGCCTGATTCAATATCAAGTGAATCATCTGGTCATAATTTCTTTTTTATATGAAAGGGAGACTGAAATGGATTTCTGATTATTCTGAACTCTGCCACAGTCCCCTGTTTATATCAAGCATTACAAGGACTGTGTTTTATCAATCAACAATTTTGTTTGCTGCTTTCAGAGGACATGTTTCACCATGGTCTAGGTCAGTGATGCTCAGTCTGAAGTGCCAGACCAGTGTCACACATACCACTTGTCATCACCCTGCACATGTCTCTTTCTATGAGTTTCTATTTCTGTACTTATATGACCCCCATCACTATGGGATCAAGAGGTTAAGGTATATTGGAACAGAAGAGGGTGCTCTTCTCACACCACAAGAAAGAGGGAGGGTAAATGCTGCTCAGACAGGCCTGGGAGAGGAAGGGGAGCTCCCCCCAAACCGCTACCACACACCCGCTCTTTACTTTAACCCTTGGTATTATCTGTGGTCTGAGTTAGAAGTTGCATGATGTCCTGACCTGCATATAGTGGTTACAGGCAAGGCAGAAAAGTTAAATGGCAAATGAAAACAGATAGACTGAGACAGACTAACACGGCTGTTACTCTGAAATCTGTCATTATGCAAGGCACTGCATTTAGCCGTATGGAGTGGAAATCTATCAACTGCATGAAAAAACTTGTACAGATACAGACAGACATCATCTTCCTTTCCAAATGCAAACAGATGGACATCGTACCAAAAGGACTGAAGGTAAAAAATCCATTACAATCTACATACCACACAGACTGTGCTGACAGCTTGTGCCACACGTTCTCAAAGAAACTGCGGAACCACCTGATCAACATCCTCTACAGCAAACAGGGAAAGATAAAGAATGAGCTCTCAAAAATGGATACTCTCATAAAAAAACAACCTTCCACACAAACTTCCTTGTGGCTGGACTTTACTAAAACTAGACAAGCCATTTACAACACACACTTTGCCTTCTCTACAAAAGAAAAAGGACACTAAACTTTCTAAACTACTACATGCCACAAGGGGCTACAGCAATGGTTCCCTCAACCCACCCAGCAATATTGTTAACCTATCCAACTAAACTCTTAGCCCAGCAGAAGCAGCTGTCCTATCTCGGGGCCTCTCCTTCTGCCCCTCCACCCCCACGAACATGATACAGTTCTGTGGTGACCTAGAATCCTATTTTCGACGTCTCCGTCTCAAGGAATATTTCCAACACACCTCTGAACAACATACTAATCCATAGAGACCTCCCTACCAACACTACAAAAAGAAGGATTCTAGGTGGATTCCTCCTGAAGGTCGAGACAGCAGACTGGACTTCTACATAGAGTGCTTCCGCCGACGTGCACGGGCTGAAATTGTGGAAAAGCAGCATCACTTGCCCCACAACCTCAGCCGTGCAGAACACAATGCCATCCACAGCCTCAGAAACAACTCTGACATCATAATCAAAAAGGCTGACAAAGGAGGTGCTGTTGTTGTCATGAATAGGTCGGAATATGAACAAGAAGCTGATCGGCAGCTCTCCAACACCACTTTCTACAAGCCATTACCCTCTGATCCCACTGAGAGTTACCAAAAGAAACTACAGCATTTGCTCAAGAAACTCCCTGAAAAAGCACAAGATCAAATCCGCACAGACACACCCCTGGAACCCCGACCTGGGATATTCTATCTACTACCCAAGATCCATAAACCTGGAAATCCTGGGCACCCCATCATCTCAGGCATTGGCACCCTGACAGCAGGATTGTCTGGCTATGTAGAATCCCTCCTTAGGCCCTACGCAACCAGCACTCCCAGCTACCTTTGAGACACCACTGACTTCCTGAGGAAACTACAATCCATCGGTGATCTTCCTGATAACACCATCCTGGCCACTATGGATGTAGAAGCCCTCTACACCAACATTCCACACAAAGATGGACTACAAGCCATCAAGAACACTATCCCCGATAATCTCACGGCTAACCTGGTGCCTGAACTTTGTGACTTTGTCCTTACCCACAACTATTTTACATTTGGGGACAATGTATACCTTCAAATCGGCACTGCTATGGGCACCCGCATGGCCCCACAGTATGCCAACATTTTTATGGCTGACTTAGAACAACGCTTCCTCAGCTCTCGTCCCCTAACGCCCCTACTCTACTTGCGCTATATTGATGACATCTTCATCATCTGGACCCATGGAAAAGAAGCCCTTGAAGAATTCCACCATGATTTCAACAATTTCCATTCCACCATCAACCTCAGCCTGGTCCAGTCCACACAAGAGATCCATTTCCTGGACACTACAGGGGTAATAAACGATGGTCACATAAATACCACCCTATACCGGAAACCTACTGACCGCTATTCCTACTTACATGCCTCCAGCTTTCATCCTGACCACACCACATGATCCATTGTCTACAGCCAAGCTCTGCAATACAACTGCATTTGCTCCAACCCCTCAGACAGAGACAAACACCTACAAGATCTCTATCAAGCATTCTTACAACTACAGTACCCACCTGCGGAAGTGAAGAAACAGATCGATAGAGCCAGAAGAGTTCCCAGAAGTCACCTACTACAGGACAAGCCTAACAAAGAAAATAACAGAACGCCACTAGCCGTCACCTTCAGCCCCCAACTAAAACCCCTCCAACACATTATTAAGGATCTACAACCT